GAGGTGATATTTGATGAAGCACACAGTAATCTGCGTAGAGACGAACTTAGCACCTAATATCGCTTGGAAGATCATTAAAAAGTCTTAAAAAATATCCGACGGCCTGAAACAGAGTCCCTGTGGGACACCAGATGTAACTTTAATGGCTGAGGATGGCTTGGAACTAAATAAAACAAATTGAGAGCGTGAGTTTATATGCTTTCTATGCAGTCGACCATTTGAGGATTATTTGACCTCTAGTTTGCATATAAACTTGCTGTGAATATTTGTGTCGAAATTTTTTGAAACATTTATATACAAGGCGTCAATTTCATAACCAGGGTCTAAATTACTTATATTATCTTTTGAAATTTTCACAAGCTGCGTTAATGTGCTCAAGCCGTGACGACGTCCAAGTTGTATGCTGGTCAACTGGTTATTTGCTTCAGGAAACTTAGTTAAGTGTTTATGAATAATGTGTCCAAACAGCATTTCGGCGTTCGCCATGAGTGATATGGGTCTACAATTTGAGAGGAGCTGTCTGTTCTCTAATTTATGCAGAGGCAGGACATTATTTAACTTCCAGGATTCAGGAACTGTACTTCAAAACGAAAGGTTGCTAAAAACAATGGTAAAATAACGTGAGCTTTACAGAGCGTACAACACGAGAAAGTTATTTGCAATAATATCTGGGCCAATACACTTCTTTGTATCTAACTTGAAAATAAAGCTCAGAATCAAATCTACGCTTTTTATCAGATCATTGACTGCAGTTCTAGTTTAGAACTTCCAAACAAAAGAAGGGCATTATTGTGATGCGGGAACAGCGATTGAAAATAGAAATTTAACGCAGTGGCTATCTTGAAGGGGTCTGAAACAGCCATGCTATCTATAATAACAGAAACTGTATCAATTTAAGTGGGGTTGACAAAAGACCAGAACTTTCTAGGGTTAGACTTTTGTAAATCAGGAAGTTAAACTTGGTAATTAATTTCCTAGCACATTCCATTTTTACACATACCTAACAGCGACGTTAAAGCGACTGATAACAATAGAATTACCTGTCTTTTTCAAACGTCGCAGACGACAAACGTGACGTGAAGTTTGCAGCAAGCTGCGATTCATCTATGGAGTCCGCGGATTTCTTTTCCGGTTTTGCGAGGAACGAATTAATCAGAGCATAACGTCACCAAATGCTCAAATGCGCTGACTAAAGTGTCAACATGACCAAGAATACATAGTGCTTGAAATGCATGAAAGCTGGAAGCGTTCATATATGTGATAGAAGTGTCGTCTGCATAAAACAAGTCCTAAGACTGCATAATTCACGGCTTCTGTTTTTTTATACGAGATATAATGCATGAATATTGCCACCTGGTCATCTGTCCCGCTCGCATGACGTTGACGAAGGGAGCAGTCGGTGGGTTCGAGACGAAAATTCATTTAGGGGCGAACCTGCGCCTAGTAAATGCAGTGAAACTCATATCGATACATATTCCACACTAATAGGCGGCGAATTGAGCATCGGCTGTCATTAAAACAGATGGGCGTAAGTAAGCGTCTGCATTTATACATGCAGCCTCAATCGGTCTAGGGTTAACGCTGACGGCTGCAAGAGATCTTAAATAAAGTGACCATTCGCATAATGCGTCTAGCTTTAGCAAAACAATCTCGGAGAGTCACGTAGCTGCTCGAACACTGCGAAAGGATCTACTACTGGGCGTTCTGCTAGCTTACCCAGGTGAAAAACAGAGAAGAAGAAACGGGCGTGGTGAGCAGGTAAAACAATGGATTTACGTGCGCGGACTCCAAGTGATGACATAAGAAGACAGCGTACGATGGCAGCGTAATTCCTTTCACTTTTTTTATTTTTTTAATCTTTGCGTCATTCCTCTCCAGACTTACTTCTCTTTCCTACATCCTTGCCTATACATGGCTATGTTATGCATTGCTTGGCCTACGGTGACCCAGAGGGACGTGAGAGTACGATGGCCGCATAATAGCGTGTACGACAGCCCGGGCTCTAATACTATTCACACTTACAAGAATAAGTGGCTTCAAATGCAAAAAAAATTGACGTAATATTTGCAATCTCATATAGGTTAGAGCTCCCAATATTTCAAAACACACACACTGCATGGAGAACAGCTGAAGGCAATTCACTAGGCTTAAGTGTACCTTCTGAACACTTCACAACCTTGGAGGCCCTGTCTTGACAAAACATGTTTCACCATAGGCTGACAGTTTTGCTTTGTAGAGTACACTTTCATTAGGCGAGGCAGGCATTTTGAATCTATCTATCTATCTATCTATCTATCTATCTATCTATCTATCTATCTATCTATCTATCTATCTATCTATCTATCTATCTATCTATCTATCTATCTATCTATCTATCTATCTATCTATCTATCTATTTATCTATCTATCTATCTATCTATCTATCTATCTATCTATCTATCTATCTATCTATCTATCTATCTAGGTACCATCTAATTATCAAGTGGCCTACGTCTGCGTGCTCTCGTGATTACCCCCTTCACTTGGGCCATGCAAAAATCAGCATAGGTGGCCGAAAGGTTAGGCGAATACGTCTGTATGGACATGACATTAATAACGTGAATATCCTGTCGCGTATGTCATCACATGCTTTCGTCTATTATGATGTGGCACATGCTCATACAGTATGGGCTGTGGTATGTGCGTATGGGCCACAGGCTTTCACAGTTAATGACTACACAGAATGGTAAGAACAGTCATTGCCCACTTGTATGCGCGAGGGATATGAAAAAAATTACAGCATTTTCACGAGGTAAATCATTAAGGATTTCGGGTGAAGCTCGTGAAGCAGTTATGGTTACAGCGTGAAATCTACAGTGATTACACCCAGCAGTAATCCAAGCGATAGTTTGTGTGAAATTTTATTCTACTTGCAACAACCAGTTGACTTTTCGCCTTCATGATTATCGCCTTGTGGTCGGTTAAATAGAGCGATCGGGGTTCTTCTCGTAGGCGTGACTTTAAAGTTTGTAAAGACAACGTCTATACACGTCCCATTGACAGTCGCACCCCACTCTCCGCTCGCACCCCACTCTCCACCATTGTCCGTGGTGGAGTTCGGCCAAGAAGCACGAGCTCTAGTGGCCTTCCGCACCCAGCGCTCCTCGTCGTCCATGGCCCGCAAAGCATCACCATCCGGCAAGAACACTCGTACGGTGACAATCCGGGGAATGGGAGCTTGCCGCCCGGCACAACACCACACAATCACGGAGCAGCCCATCGAAGAGCAGCTGCACCACCGACGCCCTGTAACGTACCTTCACCCTACCGCTATATTGTATGCATGTCTGTGGGCCAGCGCCCTTTCGGAAACGAGATGAGAGATGAAGATGACGACACAGAATATGGACAGCGCCATCTAGTATGTTGTCACCCAACTGCAGTTAGCGTACATCTCTAAGAGGCAACGCCTTCTATTGTACTAAAAGGTACAATAGAAGGCGAATAAAAGGTACAAAGGTGCCTCATAGATATGATCGATGACCAACCAAGTCTCGCAATAAGGATCTTCGCTTCCGAAGCAGACACCATCAGCATAGACCCGACGAATTCAATGAATGTAGGGCCTCAGCAGCAATAAAACTGAAGCATGTTGTGCAGCAATCAAGTATTTTTTAATGCGAATGCATTTCTTAGTCGGGTTATGTCAGGCGTCCGCGCTGGTATCCACGAGCCGACAGGTGTTATCTATTTTCCCTTACTCCCTCTTTTATATCAACGGCTGCGGATGCGAGCGCTTATCCTCTTCGCTAGCAACCGGAGCATAGGGTGCGAGAGAGTGTAGGGGAGGGCAGGTGGAGTGCTTCGCTGCTCCTTCTTTCACCGTTCGTATTATCTCCTCCCTACTCTACACTCTTCTGCCCGCTCGCGCATCACTCTGCACCGTTCACTGGCTGGGCGCCTCTTTAGAACATCCGGAAATGTGTGCTTAAGAGCCGAGAACGCTCGCACCCCACTCTCCCGTCTACTCGCTCCTCCCTCTCGACCGTTCACTGGCTGGGCGCCTCTCAAGGTGATGGCAGAAGTCGATGAAGGCGAATGTCTGACGGCAACGGCACACTTTCTCGGCGCAAGAATTACATTGGTATATTCTCACAATACCCTTCAAGCTTGGGGGGGGGGGGCATTTTTTACCACCAAACCACAGCAGGTCTGAGAACTACTTTGGAAAAAGACGTTATGCAGCCTTATAGTACGTAAAACGTGAAATATGCTTATAGTGATGACAACATGAAAGCATTAACCTAGCGTATGTACTCAGACACAGACGTCACATCGAGTTGATGTCGATTGTAGTTAACCGCCATTGACTGGAGTTGGTGCACGTAGGATGTAAGCGCTTAGCTTACACCTTCCACTTTCACTGTGCACAAGGCTCCCGTTATAGGGACCGAAACGTCATCACATTTTTATTTGGTGTGGCTGGTGCTTTCGTCATTTTATTAAGTCATTTTTCCCCACTAGACGGCCAGTATGTCGAAGCCTTCATTTCATGTAGATAGCACTATAAAGCACTAACACCCTCGCTAACAGAAGCGCTACATACCACCTACCACATTTCGCGTTAATAAACCAATGTTGCTATTTGCATCGTTACGCAACAGCAAAGAACTCGTTATATAAAACATACGCAACTGTTTAACAAATATATGTGCGTATCACATCCGCATATATCTTTGGCGTAATCTTGTAATGTTTCGCTCAACAAAATAAATTACGCCACCATCGCCTTTGCTTCGTGTGCTTCAAAAACATTGGTTCTCGTGGTACGTGGGATGTGGCTATTTTATTAATATTTTATTTTCGAGTCTATATTCTGTAGCGAAGAATAAATAGGCTGCCTTTGCAAGTGATGGGTTCACATATTTGCCAACAATCTGCAATTTAATAATTACAAACTACATGTTAGTAGAGTAATACATCGTGTAGCAGAGTAATACATCTTTAGAATTACAACTCACCGAGAGGATAAATGCAGTGTCCACGTTTCAGTTTGCAGTCTGCAGCAAAAAAAAAAGTATTAGGAAGCGTTTTGATTCGAATATATGTCTAATGTCCACATGAATACATATAGTAAGATGAAGCTGAATTTAGGTTTACTAGGATTGGTAGATCAACATTAAAAAGTGTATTGTTTGCTTGAGAAAATTCCAAAATTATTTCTACAGAACTAAAATGAAGCAGGCCTTTCATGTGACTGTACTCATCAGGCTATTAACATCTGAGAGTTTGCTAAAATTAACTAGAGAAACTTCTGGCGCGGCGATCATTCAGCGACCATGAAAATAATGGTTAGGTACATGGAATTGCCTAGTCTTTGTGCTTTCGGTGCAGCGAATCACACTTTGGCTTCATTTATTGCTGTGATTAGGACTTTGTTTTCATAGGAAAGAACGAACCTTTTTGAACTTCATGACCTGATTTGAAATGGTAAGTAAAAAATGTTACAATTGTAATGCGCAACTGCTGAATATTTGCTGATTTCCGTTTTGTGAGACAACAGCTCCAAGACAAATGAGCACACGCGGAGCCAGAAGTACGAAGATTAGACAAATACGTGTACTACCCGTCATTCACATGCTCGCTGAAGCGCCGTGCGTTGCAGCTTCCATAGACATTAGCGCCAGAGTTACCTCTAGCGTATATTTGGGAAACTCCTCAATTAACATAAAGTGGCCTTGCCGCGAGCAGTAAAAAATACCGTACACCATTTTTCGGTTTTTGTGAAATATCAGTTAGCCAAGTAATGCCGCAAATCAGACAAAGTACTAATATTGGCGTAAACCATAAACATATAAGTTATATACAAATACAGAATTATACTCACCGGATACCGTGTAGTTTCTACCATACGAGGGGCCTGCAACATGCGAAAAATCACAGCATGTGTATTTGAGTGTATTTTTGCAATCACTAAACTGAAATCAAACTAGAACGTATGCATTCCTTCTTCTAAGTATACATGCTTACGGTCAGTTAGTACAGTTCGTTGCTAGTTGTTCACCAATAGTGAAGGACCTACTCGCGTACATATAGAATGAATATTTTGACAAAGGGGGTCAAAGCAGAGACAACGAAAAGAAATAACCACCCCAACACTCCGTATGCATGTTTAACCAGCGAAGCTGAAACGCGAAGAAACACGTCGTTTCATTCAGCGCAGTCACTCGAAGAAGGTGTCAGCCCCAGTGAATGCATTCCTGCCATTGTCGGCCTTGTCACTGTTCCGCCTGGAATACCACTTCTTTGCCTGCCCGTTGTCCCTTGCATTCGGTTTGGAAGGTTGCTAGTTGCTGCTTGCGCTTCGCCACCCAGGCATGGTCTTAAAAGCGAACTAATTCTCCGGCCCGGCAGACACGCATTTTATCCAAAGCTTGCTGTAAGCGTTATTTTAAAGTTGTCTTGCTATTCGGCCTTTGGTACGTTACGTGACGTCCCCTTGCGAGAATTTTTAATTTGGAACTCCTCAACGCGCATTGGGCAGCATGCCTGCAAAGCAACAAATGACATCACTGACAGCGCTCCTCGTGATAGGGTGTGACGCAGGCAATGTCGTAACTGACGGAGCAGCCAACGGGAACCGTTATCGCTTCTCATAATGAACGGTTTTAGATGCGGAGCATCTCTTGCTCGCGTCTACGTACCACAGCGTCGGCGTCCACAGTCACACTACACTCTTAAAAGTTGTAGTACTTACTAACTTCGGATTACCATTTATTTGTCACACATGTTAAAAATCAGTTAGTAAGCGAAGTCTGTAATGAGGAGGTTATTAACCGTTACTACCCCGACTGTTAATAATGCAGTAAGTAATGGTTACGAACGTAGGTGGGAACAGTGGCTAACAAATAAAGAAGTACCACACGCGACCATTTTGCCTCACGAATCACCAATTTTATAACGGTCCTATTCGCGATCGTCAGCATTTCAATATATCACTGAGCAATTACAGACATAGCATCATAAATGAGTACAGCAAACATACACAAGTCTTCGTCATAATTTTTTCTTTACTTACTTTTGCCTATTACACAATAATATAGAGTGCATGAACAGTACATACAGAGGTAACAAATGGTATGGTTACTTAGTGACTAGAATTCCTTTATACGGATAAGGGCCTCAATATCTTCGAGCCACTCTGGAATTCAGTCTTTGGTTCTACACTCTGCTTTGAACTTCGAGACCATTCGCCTGAACGATTCACGAATGGGCAGTGTACTGATGTCGGCATGGCGGACTGTCATGTACGTTTTGCAAATACTGTGAACGCCGAGCAACACAACACGACCACAAGGTGCTCGATCGTCTTTTTCAGTAACTATTTATCCATCGCAACATTGCTTTGCTTTGTCTGCTTGACAAGTATGTCCATTCTGATAAGCCTTGTATATTACCACTCGAAACTCTCATCCGCACATCCTCAAGACTACATAATCATCTTAGTTTCAAGCGCGTTTTCGGCAGAACAAATGCATCAATTTACCCGCTGTACTTTGTGCCATATCTTGCTGGAATGATCTTCCTGGTGAAATTGTTTCCATAAGCGGCCATCGAATATTTCTCTGTCGTCTCGACGTACTTTAAATTTATTTTTGTTTATTTATTTGTTTTTATTTATTTATTCATTTATTTATTATATTTATTTATTTATTTATTGATTTTTGTTCTGCTTGTTTACCATGTTTTACTGTTCTGCTTGTTCACCATGTTCTTTTTCAGTGTACAGTTTCTTTAAACTACTTCCGAGCGGTGTTCGTTGTATTTCACCTTTTATTGTATCATTTCCCCCCTCACTCAATGCCCTACAGAGCCTGTAAAGTTTCTTCTAAATAAATGAATAAGTAAAGTGGCAAAAACTTGATCCCGTAGGCATCAATCGGTAAATCGTTTTTCATAGTTCGCTGCAGAACGTCCCAGAACACATCTTCCTAACAATCCAAAAAGACATGTTCGATGGTTTCAGGTTTAAGACAAAGAAAACAGTGCGTTCCCCACAGTACAAACAGTCCCCTTTGTTGTATCCACGTTTTAACTTTTAGAGCTCCTGTATGGAGCCTTGAAGAGAAAAATGATTTTGAACTAGATGGGACAGCCATTTTTTTGCTCAGGCCAGTACATTTCGGCCACGTCCAGCAGAAAAGAAACTCCTGTGAAGTGGTACAGGTAAAAAAAATGTCGAGAAAGTCTCTATACAACCTTTTTCGTTTTACTCCCGCTTGATATTCGCTAAAAACGTGTCAATAAAAATAAATTCACCATGACTTTTTTAAATAACCATAAAGCACCCAATGCACATAGTCCGAGGTGACAACGAGGAAAAGTAGAACTCTTCCAAGACGTAGAAATGGATCTCTTGTGTCTCGCAGAAACATAATACGACTAACGACCTGCCTTAAAAACAAATGTGACCGACTGCGACCACCAAATCGAACACGACGAGAAAGGTTAATACGACGACTGAACAATTCCCACACTTATCTCCGTATGAATACTGCAAACACTCGGTGCAGCTTCTGCACGTTTATATGCGAGCAATGCCAAACCTGTAATGTGTACCAGAGTTTAGAGACAAATAAAAGATTATATATGATGGCCCGCGTGGAAATCGAAAAGTCCGATCCTCTAACTTTATCCACTTTTTCCCGCATTTCAGTGGTTTGCCATCACCAGTGCGGCTCACGGTCACAATATATTTTTAGAGCTACGCCCAAAGATTTCACAGGCTTATTCACTCACGGCATGTTAGCAAAAGTATCTGGAGTGAAAGGCCCATCCCCATGGCAACATTCAAAGAATTTTACACAGTTTAGCGAACTCCCACTGGCCGTATAAAATAGTTTTGAAATATGAACTACTTCATTAACGCTTTCGCGATGTGAACAGAAAACTGCCACGTCATCAGTATATTGCCACGTTCCATTTCCCAAGTTTTTGTCGTCGTCCCAAAACACCACACGATTCTCAGCGCAAACCGCGCCTGCAGTTTTCGAGAAGGTTCCGGACTGTAGTAGATCATTTCGATAAGATCACGCCCACTGTGCGAACGGTACAGATTGTTCTGGAACCTACGCCACCACCAGCGATAACGCTAGAACATTCGACAGCAAGAGTATAAATGCCGACGCGCTTCGCCGCTTGTCAGTTGTTGATCGAAGGCCGACGCTCCGTTCGCCGCTATCAGTCCGAGACTGCTACCTGTGCAAGACTACTGCTGTAATTGGACTTTCCGTTTACCGGGCACAGGTTCGTCCAAATAAACAGTTAAATCCCAACACAAAGTCTCCTGTCTTCGGCCACGTCACGACCCCGTGACATTGGGTAGAGGTGCTGCTTCGTTCATGTACCGGACGCCCCCGTCAAGCCGTGAACCCAGCCCACGTCGCGGAGAAGACACCGACGCCAACCAAGAGCAGCGAACAAGCCGCCGACAGCAAGGTCTCCCACCGGAGTACGGGCTTCTACAAGACAAGGCGCGGAAGGCCAAGGCCATGACCTCTACTGCACCGACAATGACAACCGGAGCGTCCCAGCCCGCGATCGTCATTCATCAACCCAGGGAACCACCAACGTTTCATGGGTCATCGTTTGAAGACCCAGAAACCTGGCTAGAAATGTACGACCGTGTGGCCGCCCTCAACTACTGGGACAACGAAGAAAAGCTCCGTCGTGTGTACTTTTACCTGGAAGACACCGCAAGGACCTGGCTAGAGAACCGGGAGTCCACGCTCTGAACGTGGGATGTCTTCTGCGGCGCATTTCTGCAAACGTTCGCGAGCGTCGATCGCAAAGAGAGGGCCGCTGCTCTACTAGAGACCCGGGTTCAGCTACCAAATGAGAAGGTTGGAATTTTCACAGAGGAGATGACCCACCTATTTCGTCACGCTGACCCAGACATGCCTGAGGAGAAGAAAGTTCGTTTCCTCATGCGAGGGGTCAAACAGGAGCTCTTCGCGGGACTAATGAGAAATCCACCGAACACCGTCCAAGAATTTGTATCCGAGGCGACCACCATCGAAAAAACCCTTGACATGCGCACCAGACAGTATAATCGTCGCCTGACTCCAGAATGCGCTGCTGCTCAAACCAGTGACTCCGAAAACCTGCGTGAAACGATCCCAGCGATCGTGCGGGAAGAGCTGCACAAACTGTTGCTTTCGGCGCACCCTCAAGTGGATTCGATCGCCGACATTGTTAGAAAAGAAGTTCGGCAATCACTTCGAATTCCGCAAACACCGCTGCCCGAGCCAAAAACGATGAGCTACGCCGCTGCAGTGCGCCACAACGCTCCTCCCCGCCCACGCTAAAACGCCGCCCCGTCGCACTTCCGTCGCCAGACACCACCGCCGCCACAACCCCCACCGATGACCTACCGTTCACCAGCGGGCCAGCGCAGTGCGCCGAGGAAAACCGATGTTTGGCGCACCCCTGACCACCGCCCACTGTGCTACCACTGTGGCGAGGCGGGGCACACTTACCGCCGTTGCCAGTACCGACAGATGGGACTGCGTGGCTTCGCCGTCGATGCACCACGTCCGCAGCCAGGGGAACGGCCACGTGACATCGCCGACTAGCTGACAGAAACTCAATGGACACCCCGAAGTCCTTCGCGTTCGCCGTCGCCCAGCCGCCGCATGTCACCGCCCCCCCCCCCCCCGGCAGTACTCCGGCCCAATGCGGGGCCGGTCTCCTAGCCCGTATCCGGGAAACTAAGGGCAGCAACCGGTGGAGGTGCGGTTGCTGTGCGACGAACTACCGAAGATCCTCCGACGACGACGACGCCGCGAGGTAGCTTTCCGAACACAATGCCAACCAGGCAAAGCCCTGATGGCGAAAGCTCACTTACCGGAGGGGGCCTGA